CAGCTGAATACTGAACAGAAAACGCCGAGCATGTAAATAGTTGAAATATCAAATTGACCCCCTCGTAGCTGAATATTCGAAGCAAATACTAGCAGGATATGTGGCTGACTGAATTCGTGTTTGTTTTTAATACACGTGAATCTCCAGAAAATCTTAAGGCTGTTATTTAAGTGGAATTGCAAGACAATGTTGCCGAATATAAACCTTGAATTAGCCTGCATTAACGTTATTTTGAAGTGCAGGTTTTTAAGTAAAAGTGATCCGACTTATTCTCGCGGTGACATTTAAGCTTATTATAATAAACTTTATGAAGAACCCACATACCGAATCGTTTTAAAGTAAATAGCTCTTCTACTTTAAAATAGTGATATACCCACCGTGTAAACCTCTTGAGTCTCACTTCGAATTCCTCCGTTTTGATCACACAAATATTTAACCCAGGCTGTCCAGCTAAGCCAAATCAGTGATGCACCTCTAAAGTGGTGCTCGAGTCAGCAGAAGTATCTGTCTTCAAAAACTGTCAACCCTAATTGCACTGATGTTTGTCACTTCACCACATAAATTATTTACTAACTTAACACATTAAACACCTTCCTTTGTGAATTAAAGAAAATAATAATAACAAACTACCTAAAATCTGCTTACACTTGTGAGATCTTGGTAGCAAAAAACGCAAGAAAAACCCCGTCAAAGTCCATTACCCGTAAAAGTGCCAAAATTTAAAAGTAAGAATTGAATTTCATACTGATAGCGTATATGGATATTTAACCAGCATCTTGCACTTTCTCCGATGAAGGTTGAATTTCAAAGTTTAAAAAGATAAATTAGATGAAAAAATTATAAAACTCCAAGGGAAATATTGTTTATATACACTGAAATAAAAAAGAGTCCCAAGATTAAAAAAGAGGTCGATACAGAGCTATGTACTATTAGGTTAAGATAGAAATTAAAAACAAGATTGCCATTAATTGTCATGAAGTTTTTATTTAACAACTTAATGAGCAACACATTGTAAAACTGCGCCATGTGCATTAACATCAAGCAACTTCACAGCGAAAACTTAAATTTGGTAGAACACGCACAACAAAGATTTCCAACCAAATGCTGCTCAATCGAGAATAATCATGTTCTTAAAAGATCGAACAATTACGGGACATGCATTTCCCCTAGTTATACAATTAAGGAAAGATATAACACACCATATATTGGTCCACCTGTTGTCAATTTCACAGCCCATTGAACAGGTCTTAAGAGCGATAAATACACACAAACGAAATTAATTTCATTTTGTCATTTTCCGTTTGCTATGAGAGATTCAGAAAGTTCTTCTGTAGCGGACGATAATGAAGCCGGTCTGGTGCTGTACTTGAAGCTGAGTAATGATTTGAAAATTTTGTAAAATAGACGTGAAAACTCATATTAATATTTTCCTTGCAATGTAAATATTCAGTGTTTAGTTAAGGATGTTGACTTAACAGCTAAAGAAGTGATAACAAAACTGGGCTAGAAAGGAGGTTGTACGCAGATACGTTTTTGTTATCTAAAAGTAAGCCAAGATAAGCCAAAAACATAACACTTTATTAAACTTAGAATTGTTCATTTCAAGAATACTTAAAAGATGAGTTTTTATTTTTAACAGAGAAACTGTATGTGTATTTACTTTGGGTATGTGGAAAGTTTTTGCTTCAACATCGCAAGCTACATATCGCAGGGGGATTTGCCTCAACAAAGAAGTAAAACAAGGCAAATTCGTTTTGTCAGAGGTAATTCATCAAACCTTATTAGAAATGTGTCGGTTCTATTAATTAGAAATAAGTAAATTATATATTCATCCTGATTGCAGTTAACCAGAAATATCAATGATGTATGGCAAAATTTAAATTAAATAATTTACATCTATTTTGTTATTTTGCTGTTTCGAATTCTTCTTCTTTTCTGTGTGTTTTTAAGTTGTTATTCAATTTTTTTTCTTAGAATATGTTAAGTAGACGGTTCGTAAACGGTAGTAATACATTTCGACATCTTATGGAAAAATTTGAGTGTAAATATTTTGAATTTTTAAATTCATCCTTAAAAGTTAATATAAATAGTGACTGAATACAAGCGCCTAATAACCGCTACAACCTTGTTGATTGGGGCACCTTTAAAATGATCGAAATACTAGAAGATTTAAATTCGAGAACCGATTTCTATTTTTGCTTTCCTTCCCAATGTAAGTTATTTATTGATTTTTTCACTTGGTAACATACCGTAAACTTCCTAAAGTAACGACTCTCGTTAGCAGCCTTTGGGGCTCGTTACTTTCGAGGTGTCGTTACTTTTTAGGGGTCGTTACTTTCGGGGAGCAAAAAACGTTATATAAAGTTGGTACGAGTGAGCTCTTTTACGAAGTAAAAAAACTCGAAATTCGTTAAAAAAAGTTCTTAAAACGTGGGATACAATTCTTCGTTGCTGTCATATGGGTGGGCTCATGTCTAGATCGTGTTGTCAGTGGTTGGCAGGACAGCTTGTCAGATACCGTAAACTGTTTTTTCTTCATGACGCACTGCTCTGGTTGAGTTTACAATGTAAATTTGACGAAACGTTCCTTCTATAATATGCTTCAGTTGAAAATGATATTTTGAATCAAGGTTTCCTCTAGTACGTTCCTGTTACTTGAAGAAAATTACACGGGTTTATTTTGTTTTAAAACTGCGCAATATTAACTGGTAAAGCACGAATTGACATTTCACAACGCTTCGTGGCGTTAGCGACACCTTCCCTTATTGTAGATTTCCTTCAATAACGTTACGGTGCCTAACTTTCACTTGACTATTGAGTTGGGGTGGGCTCGCTACTTCGGAAAAGTAAATCGACCATAAAACCAACGGTGGCGCTTCCCAATTCAGCTTCAGCGCCTCCGGCAGAAACAACTCCCATCGTAAGAGATCATGTTTCTACCTCATCATTTAAAGGCTGTATACGCAGGCTAAAAAACACGCAAAAAAAAAAAAAAATTTAATTAAGCAGGTTTTTTCTTTAACCTGTCACTTTTACCTTACATTTTACAAGCAAGTTAATTACAACAATAGAGAAGGGCCTTCTTTAGTTGCTTGTTTTAATTAATTTAAAAGTAATTTAAAAGTAAATTTATTATACTTGCAAAAGACTTCAAGGGACAAACGGAAATAATCAATGGCAAATAAATGTTTTAAATTTAACAAACATCTCTCATGCCGGGATAGGGGATTATTTTCCCAACATTCCCTAAATTGTCAGAGGCCGCAGTGATTCTGGCTTATCGCATTGTATTTGGGATCGAAACAACGTTAATTTGCATCGGGAATGCCTTCGCTATTTTTGTTTTTTGGAATCAGAGACATTCTTTAAAACGAGCGAGCTCTCTTCTTATAAACCTTGCAGTAGCTGATTTCCTGGTTGGAGCAAGAGAACTGATAGACACATCATGGCAAACTATAACGATCGGATGATGTTCGTTCAAGGTGATATACCATCGATTATCAGTGCCATTCTGTTTTCCAGTGTTTCAGTGTTTTCTCTTCTTGTTATTTCTTTGGAGCGCGCTTGTGCGGTGATTTGGCCTTTTCGTCACCGAGTAGCGAGGATTGGAATTTATGTCACAAGCATACTTATGGTTGGCTTGCTGATTTCTGCGTAGCAACAGTGAATGGACTCGATGTGTGTGGCTTAGTAAGTCATTTGACTTCGTTTTTATTATTTTACCTCGGGTACGCCTTTCATTTGTCTATGCCTGGTTTTGTACAGCTGAAACACAAAATAGAAAACTTGTCGAACACAACATAAAATTGTCCAAAACTTTGTTCATTGTTATCGGATTGTCGTTTGGTCTTTGGCTGCCAGCTGTAACAGTTTACACCTTCTTGGGAATTTGCCTCGACTGTCTCACAGGAACCTCATATATACATGTTTTGTCCAAAGCGACGGTTTTACACTTTGCGAACTTTCTCGTTAATCCAATCGTTTACAGTTACAGAATGCCCATGTTTAACGCTGCCGCACTGAAGAAATTGCTACGAAACTGAATAAGCAGGTTAATTTCTTTACCACTAGATTAATGACTGCATAAATTTCAAACTCCTCGACCACTCAGATTCAGAGTTGTACCTTAGTTCATTTAATGTTATCATTTCGTCACAATCCTACATTAGATACCAAATGATCAGCTTGACTGTTTTTTTTTTTAGGAAAATTAAAGTCATTTGCTTCCATTACTATTTTTTTCAAATAGTGTATGAAGTTTGATGTAAAGTTTCTTGCCACGCGAGATGTTCGTTTTCTGTCTGTTATGATCATGGGACCTGCATGGCGAAGAAAAATACACTATTCAACCTATATAATTAAGAACCCAGAGATTGAAGAATTTGGGGACAGGTATACCGGATACGAAACCTTATATAACATTCTGTAGCGTTGTTTTGTATTGCACGTGACACGTAACTTCTCATGGCTAACTTCTTTCTCGGATTTGCTATTTGTTTGTGGATTACGGACCCTGCATTATGACTTAAACACTAAAGACCGTGATTGACCACTTTTTCAAAAACCTTGAAGTTTGTCAAAAATACTCCGCTGCTCGTCGTATTTTCAACTCTCTTCTCGGTGTTTGGAAATGTGCTCAAACACGGTCTTTCGTGTTTGATATATTACGTAAAGAGCTACTTTTTCACTTCACAGGAAAGACATTTGTCTGGTTCAGGATGATATTATGCCGTTGAAACCTAATGAGTTATTCTACAATAGAGAAAAGCAAAGCGAAACTATAACTTCATTTATGGATTTCATTGTCACTTTTCGTCAATGGCTTTTTCTTGTTTTAATTCCAAGAACAAGTTTACATATTTTGACCAAATCAAGTTTAAGGATACTAACACAAGATACTTAAGATGAACGAACAATTTTAATTAACTCTGAAAACATCACTCACATGGACCGCCATGATGCTGAGCAAGAACATTTCCCAAAGTTCCTAACGACATTCACAAACTCTCAGCATCTGATTGTTACACTTCCGGTACACAATATGAACATTACAGAACAGACAGTTTTCGATGTTGCTGATCCAAATAGCATGCAGGATGCGTGTCACATATGAACAAAGGAAAGTGATTCTCTCTGTAGTTTGTAGTCAGAGCGCATGATTGGGGAGGTCATGAGTTCGAATCATGTGGAGGTACCAGATATTTTCTTTACTGCCACATCTTTATCTGATATTAACCATCTTCTATTATTTAGACAGAGATTAAGCAGTTTTTAACTGTTATGGCTACCCTAAAATTGAAATTGAAATAACTGAACACAAGTGAACATAAGCGAACGGTTAGAAATGCTGATCTCAACATTCACATATTGCCAAAGATCATCGGTAAACACTGAAAGCACACGACTAGTTGAGACTCTGTTCATCCAGCTTACCACTCACAAAACAAGCTAAGAGCGACTCTTTAAAGCTTGATTTCCTTCCGCCTCTAGCCTGCACTGCAGGCGTTATTTTGAAACAGAACGCTCGATAAACCAGGCTTTCGATGCCGCCATCTTGGACTGTATTTGGATGCTTGACCGGAACAGTTGACCCTTCACAGTTACCAAATCCAAGTTGGCGGCTTAACGTGCAGTCGCGCGCCCAAAATACGTCTGCGCTGCAGGATATTCGGGCTCGTAGTCAGTTGGCAGAACAATAGTTATCCGGCCGTACGTATCTTTTTCTTCGGGGTTAACGCCCAGAGGAAGGTTCGTGGTTTAATATCAGCACTTAAAATTACTTAAAATTACTTTATAATCTACTTGGCTCTGCAACTGCAGAAAGTTGGCCGAAGAACAGCTAGCATTTCACCAAATTTGAAGGACTCTTTTGCCTTGGCTGACAGAATCGCCGAAACCTTTGTTAACAGGGGTAAACAATGGTAGTTTCACGAATAGTCCCGCTGGCATCAGAATCAACGAACTACTGTAATTCAGTACATGATATCAGAAGCATGTATATGATTCTGATGACATGTATACCATATTCTTATAACCAAGCGCGAGGGTGCGCGAGGGCCCTACATTTTCCCAGTACGGTCAGAGCAAGCTTGGTCAATGAGAGATTTATTTCACAACTGAAACTTCACGAACTAGTTTATTATATAGTAAGTAATGTAAGTTATGTGGTGATGTAGTGTTAAGTGTTTTAAGTAATGTAATGGAACACAAATTTGGGTCATGTAAGTGGTGTATGTAATATAACAAACGTGATGTTGTTAAACAACAAGCAACAACAACTTCTGAAACCCTTTTGGTTTCTCTGCAAGCTAAGCTGAGTTTAAATTAATCTTCCGAAGTTAATTACGGTTTGTTTGTATTTTCATATTGTAGAATATCCTACAGTTGGCGACTCAGTATGTATTAATTTTATTTCCAGTCCTAAACAACTGTTATTTGAAGTAATTTCCCTGAGCCTCGTTATGGTTTCTATTGTTCAGTTGATAAAATAAGGTAATCCTTGCAGAATCCACAACCGCGTTCAGTGCTCGGCCAAAGAAAGCAAAATCACTGCGAGGAAGATCTTCTTTGAGTTGGGAGTTAACCATGTCAAAGATCGTGATCGTTTTCTATGTCATAAACGCGCTTCAAGCAATGATAATTCTAGCCGGGAATGCATTCACCATATACGTGTTCTGGTATCGTAGGAACAACCTGAAACGGACAGGTCTTCTCCTGATTAATCTTGCAGTGATAGATCTTCTTGTAGGAGTGGCGACGTTCATTGAAATAAGTCCACAAATCCTACAGAAAGATACCATTGAACCAATACACTATGACGATCCCATTTCAGTATTTCAGGTTTTGTGTTCATGCTCATCCGTGATTTGTCTAGTCGCAGTTTCTCTGGAGCGCGCTTACGCAGTTTTGAAGCCGCTTCGTCATCGAGCTGCAAGCACTCAAGCGTACATCTTGAGTATTGTTTTTGTTTGGGTTGGAGGACTGGCCATGGCTTTAGTCTACACCTTGGAAATGTTTCAACTGCTCCCTACCATCTATAGCACGGTTATTCAAGACGTGGCACTGGTGTCGGCATTTGTTGTCGTCGTTGCCGCTTACATGGCGATACATACTCGACTAAAACTTACTGTGCCTTCACTTGAAGCTCACAATCGACATTCAGCGGAACAAAATGCCAAGCTCTCTCGCACTTTATTTTTTGTGATAGCCGTGTCACTCTCACTTTGGCTTCCTTCCATTGTGTTGTATACTATAGATGATTTTTGCCCTGACTGTACGTTGCCAGAAGTACTGCTGTTCATCTCAAGAGTGTTACATCTGACGAATTCCATGATCAATCCAGTTGTGTACAGTTACCGAATGCCAATGTTCAAAGAATCTATGAGGAAATGCCTCACAAAATGCAGCGTCAACAACAAACGTGACATGAGCGAAGAGTCAACCCAGTCAGGAACTTTTGACACTCC